GTCACTATTTATTTAATGAATCCATGGAAAGACTTCATTAAATTATAAATGCCTCATTACTGATATTCTTATAATAGATTATTGAAATTATGGTCTGAGCCTGTTATTCATTTCAAGGGAGAAACAGATAATACAGAGAGATCGCTACATGTCCAGTGAAATGACTGCTGGTTTTGCTAATGCAATATTCATGAGAATTTGCCCAAGACAATCACATTTAATCCTGGAAAATAAGAATACGAAATGAATTCGTTTAAATTATAATTATCCATTGGCAAGAAAGTTTAACAAGATTTATTGTTTATGTAATTGAAATGACTTAATATCCTGTCAACATGTTTTGAGGATATTGTTTTGAGGACAGTTATAGTTTTTGAAGGGAAACCTAATATTGACCTTAAAAGATATATTTGATAGTAATATTAATATGGAAGTATTAATTTTCAGAGGAAAATGACCCTTTGGCTATCACTTATGCTCAAATTGTTTTTCTAGGACTTTTCATGCAGTTTAAACTAAAGTAGAGAGTGTCCTAAGTGGGAACGATCTATTGTTTAGAGTTCCTGGGGTACTGTTCAGCTTTATCCTAGCCAACTCTGCAGGGTTTAAGTCAGTGACAGGTCAAAGGTACTGAAAGTAGAGTTAAGAAGATCAACATACTCAAGAATAGACAGGAATCATTTAAAAGTCAGGAGCTTTCTGGGCATCATTGACCTTCATTGTTCCTTAATTATTTCCTTATTTTGTTACAAAAAAAAACAAAACCTATAAAATCTAGGAACTTTTACACTATAGCAGATGAGCATTGTATATTTCAAGTGCAGGAAACTGTAAAAACTGAAAAAAAAGTTAAACTTGCAAAACTTTGTTTTGAGTTTGGGTTTCTTTTTTTTTCAGCTTTAGCGTTATAGTGATTCTATTCACAGAATTCAAATTCCCTTGGTAAATATAAGTCTGAGGAAAAATAGATCATGGCCTTGCTATCAGAACAAGTAAGAGACACGTGTACTTTAGAGGAAAAAAATAAAATCCCTCTAAATAGGCAACACCAGAGTAGCAAATATCTTCATGGCAAGAGTTGCTGCCTAGGTTATGACCACACTATAAACCTGTTCTGAAAAAAGAGTTCTTCCTGACCCCCTGAGGAAGTTTATGGACAGTGTCGACATTACCTTGGTCACGACCAGCTAGTAAGAGCCATCTGTTCACTTTTAGACATGGAGAATAACTCCAGTTCATAGCAAATGCTTCAACTTAACCCGTTAACTCCGCTTAAGCCATACCAGAGATGATACCTGCACTGAGAGGGAAAACACAATTGATTTTCCTTTTCCTTCCATGACTGTCATTTCTCCTCTTCCTCCCTGAAGGATTCAAGTGAGGGACAGAAAAGACCTTGCTTGGCTAACATCTATCTGGGCTCAGCCAAGGCTTGAAGCTTGCAAGGGTAGAGAGGGAACAGTTTCAAATGAGTGTTTTTAGATTTTTAAATCCCAGCACTAAAATTTCCTTACCTAAAATTTCCTCCAATCGAAGGCTAGTCATTTAGGGTTCCTACCTCAGCCATTGGGAATCCACAGTTGCAAGACTCCAAGTTCTTTCTGCTGATTTCTTTCCTCCTCAGTGGGCCCACTGAACAATATCTAACATGAATCTGTGCTGGGGGTCAAACTTCTGATCCACAGTTCCTATTCATGAGTCCTCTGTCTTAACAAACACACAAGTGGCCTGAGGTTCTGTAGCATCTTTGTTCTGTCATCAGGGATTCAATCGTTCTTGGAGATATCTTAGGGTAGTGAAGTCTCAGGTTACCAGGGACTGCTACCACCGCTTCAAATTCCACAAGACACCTACAAAACTTTCTGAGCTGCTCCACTCAAGTCTTTTCTCCCTGCAGTCCAGATAAGAGTACACTAATCTTCCACTTGGAAAGGACATTGCAAATCCAGACTCTATCTTGAAATTTGCTTCTAATGATCACTCTGACCTTGGCCTTTTCTCCTGCTTTGTTTTGTTGTTGTTGTTTGTTTTGTCATTGTTGTTGTTTGTTTTTCTTTTGAACCTTACTAGTATTTGATCTCAGAGCTTCATGAGTTCTAGGCAAAAGCTCTACCACTTGAGCCATACCTCAGATGAGATCCTTTCTTTTGGGTTATTTTTGAGGTATTATCTTGCTGGGTCTGAGCTGGCCTGGATCCAGTCCAGCTTTCTCTGTTCAGACAGAAACTCACAAACTTTTACCCCTGGAACCATGGTCCTCCTTATCTCAGCTTCTTAAATAGCTAGGATTACACATGTAAGCCACCTGGCTTGGTCTTCCTTCCTTTTTTGGTGATCTGGCTTCAGGGCCCTAGAAATAGGTTTTAATGCAATTCTCCTTTCAAGTCTAGTTTAAGCAATTTTGTACTTAATTTTGTGAAAATGGAAACTACAATCTGCTTTTAGACTTGCCACCAAGCTGGAACTGAAACGAACAAACAAATCTCCTCATTTTAACCCTTCATTTTAACGTCTTAATTGCTTACAGTGCATCACAAAATGATTTCAAGTAGGCATTGATCCATGTCTACCAACCAAATGACAATCCAAACTCCCATGTTATTTCTATTTTAGCAGTGGAGATAAAACAGGTAGCAAAAAACTCACAAGATTTACCAACTCTCATAAATGTAGCTATAAGATTACCCAGTGCTCTTCTATTGAGGACTGTGTAGTAATTGACAGCACAGACCCTGCCTGGGGTCTTGAATCAGACTGCCTGGCCTTGAATCATAGATATTTTTTTTCTTGTTGTTACATAACCATTTTGTGCCTCAGTCTTCTCATGTATAATATGGAGTCAAAAATATTACTTCCTCGTGGAACTGTTATGAGGTATACCAGACTTGGTCTTTATTAAGCATTTTGAACACTAAATACATATTTGACTGTTAATAATCTGAGTCAGGGCTGAGAAGGTAGCTTGGTGGTAGAGCACTTGACTTGCATGCATGAAGCCTTGGGTTCTATTCCTCAGCACCACATGAGCAGAAAATGCCAGACGTGGCGCTGTGGCTCAAGTGGTAGAGTGCTAGCCTTGAGCTGAAGAGCTGAGGGACAGTACCCAGGCCCAGAGTTCAGGCCCCACAGCCAACAACAACAACAAATAATAATAATAATAAAAATAACCTGAGTCAACATGGGAAGAACAGTTTTAATACGTGTACAGACTTTTGGTATGTTTCCCTTGAAATTAGTTTTGTTTTAAATTTCTGCTCATATCTTATTATCTTTACATTTTAAATATATGCTATTGTAAGCCATTTCTGGTAATTCTGTAGAAAAATTAGGGTAATCAATATTTTCATATTTTAATCAAAATAAAAATCTTATTCATGGGTTTATGGAGACTTCTTAAAAATTTTAATAGCATGTATCACATATATTTTATGCATACTCATAAAGTTCTCATTGTAGCAGGATCTCTATTTGCTCATTTTCAATAAATTACTTAAATGAGGTATTTTCATATTTTGCATATATTTATACTTTACAATGTATTGTTACAGTTTAACACTACAGGAAATTGTAAGACTTTAAGAGATATGATGTGTAGGTTATATAACAAAAGGAAGTACATTTTAAAGTCAAACTTATCCCTCCAGCCTAAAGAAAGTAAAAACAAAACATAAAACATCAAACTACTTTTTCATGAGAGAGCCTGTAGGGATGGTAGGTAACAGCAAGGAGAAAAAACAAATAAGCTCAGGATGTTTGCATCAACAGGACAATCAATGAACAATGTCACAAATAATGTGTACCCTTCCCTTCAATGAATGCAGTCATACCCATGACTCTGCCACCCTCTCCCTTCCCAACAACGCTTCTCAATGTAACTTGGAACATTATCTGGCCCACCTCATTTTAAGGATGAGAATCCAGCAAGGCACCAAGAGAATATAGTCAAATAATCCTTCAGGCTTAAAATTTCTATAGGAATGGATGGCTGTCTGTCCTCTCAACCCTCTCCCCCCATGCCATTTCTCAACTAAGGTTTGATGAAAGGCAGGCTAGAAACACTCCGAGGTTCTGGGTTCTGACAAAAGTGTAGGTATTCTGCACTGTGGAATAAATGGCAACTTCTCATGCTTTGCAAATGGACTGAACTCATCATGGAGTTGCTGGTCCCACTTCTCAGCAGCATGAGACACAGCACATGTTTCTGTTTGCCACCTCATGCTCTGAAACTCAAAGCCAAACGCCACAACTCTACACTTAGAATGCTTGGTGAAATGTTTCTTAGACCAATTGTGATAGTTCATAAATAACTTTCTTTTTAGCTTCATCATGGCTTAATCTGAAAAAGAAGCAATGGAATCCTATTTCTAATCCATCTCCATGAACTCACATGGCCTCAATCAAGTCTTTCTTAGTATCTCTTATGTCATAGTTTTATCATCTGTAAAATAAACATGCTGAAGAAATTTTAGGCTGTTATTAGCATTCGGTAATTTTGTAAATAATGAATAAGAAATTGCACATATTAAATGCCTATCTTGATGTCCCATTCCTTTTAGAATGATTTCCTGGATTGTGAGCATTTGGCACTTATTTCTAAACAGACCTTAATGTTCTTATTTTTTCCAGTTAAAAGGGAGAATAGCAAGTCTCATTTTTCTTGTGAAATGGGGAGAGTGGACTAATGGCTGTGGGAAGGGACTTGAAAGGATGTCCTTTTATACTGGCAGCTGGGCACCTTCCTCATGGCCAGCCTCTGGGAAGAAAAGTGTGTCTTTTGGAATATTAATTATCTATGAAAAAGATGGCTCAGATTTGCCCAAATATTAAGAGTTTTGCCTCTTTTTTTAACTACATGCAGTTTTTTTCAGATGTAAAAATCAGAGGCAAACAGCTGTCATCCAGAGCATGCTCTTGAATAAGATCTTGCAATTCTTGAATGCTTACTGATCAATCTGAGCTAATTCGGGTTTTTTTGTTTGTTTGTTTTTCCTTTGTTCCAGCATCAAGGCAAAATTGGGGTTAAGTTTAATGTTGGGACAGACGACATCGCCATTGAAGAGTCCAATGCAATCATTAATGATGGGAAATACCATGTAGTGCGATTCACAAGGAGTGGCGGCAATGCCACGTTACAGGTGGACAGCTGGCCCGTGATTGAGCGCTACCCTGCAGGTATGCCAGTAAATATGTATCTGGGAAAGATTTTTATGAAACACAAACTGAAAAACAAAAGCACTGTTTTGTGTCCATTTCTCCAAAATATGATTTTCTGAGAAACCATCAAATATTTATTGGACTTTAGAGTCATGTCAATGTAATTCTGTCCTCGACTGTTCTTGCTACCGTTTACCAATGGCATTTTATAGGTGAACTTGAAGGCACATGCTATCGTTTGCAAAATCTAGGACATCAATGAAACAAACAAAAAAAAGCACACATCAAAGGCATATCACGTCAAAACTCTTTTCTTTACTGAATCCTTGCATTTGAACAAAGGAAAGGCTTTGTCAAAAGTAACAAAGGTAAAATTTTAAACCAAGGGAGAATAGATTATAACACCTTTCTTTTTTTTTCTGGAGAAAGCAAGGCTAGACTATTCCTTTGATGGTAAAGCACAGTTGGGATTCACGAATCATGTAGGAAGAGCAGGAGGCCAGCAGAGAGCATCAGAATCAGCAGTAATTAGTACAAAGGCACTGTCAATTAGCAGACAGAACATGTATGTACAAGGAGTCTCTTGTTTTCATGTAACCATGGAACTCTGTGAGGATTCTGGATACAACTATCCATTGCTCATTTGAAGTCTGTAAAATTGATGGTGTTTTATATAGCTCACTATAATACAGTATACAGAGCCAGTATAAAACAATTTTTCATCTGTCACAAGGAAAGTGATAGCCATGTGTATATAGAATTAACTCTTCTGTTACAACTACCTGCCACTTGGAAGAAGAAATTTAATGATATCACTAATGTATTACATAAATCCTAATTTTTCCTTAGTACTGTCTCACAATAGGAAATGAAATGTGGCTGGTGCTTCGATTCATATCATTTTCCAGCTTCAAGTCCCAGTTCTAAATCATTCTATAAGACTATACTTTGGGAAATATATGTATTTTTTAACTTTGCATAAGATAAAACTTTTATATGATAAAATTTGAAAGGAAGTAAATTTGAAAGGGTCTGTTATAATACTGGCAAATAATAAGCACTCAAAAATATTTTCCAAATTGGTATCCTGGGAATTTTCACAACTTTTACACAACAAGTATGTAAACATAGTACTTCTGTTGGTAACTATAGTAGAATAAGGGAATGGAAGATCTGAAAGAAAATTAATTTTAAAGCATATGTATTACACGTACAGCCTGACAATTCTATTGCATTCACTGAAATCCTAATACATACATACTTTTCAAAAACTAATATCTACAACCACGTTGGAATTATAAAAGACAATTTTCCCAAAATACAGATTTGTCAGTCCCTGTTTTCTGAGAGGAAGTTATTGCATTTGATGTGATATAAAGTGGGAAAGATAACATCTAGGCTTTGGCCCAGAGTGGTATCACCTGTGAACTGTAGACTTGAACTTGGATAAACAACATTCCTTCCAATTGGTAGCATAGGATGGCATCTCAAAGTCTAGCTTTGTTTCAAGAGTTAATGCTTTAAAAATCATCTGTGTTTCCTAAGTTTTACGAGAACTGCCCAACATGTTGCCTTTAAGAACCATTAATAATTTCTGTTATTGTTTGAAATTAGTAATATTTACCTACCTATCTAGAGGAAGTTCTGCTCAATGTAATTTGGGGAATTCTGAGAAAACTAAATTAACTAACTTTTGTTTTATTTTGTTATTTTATGTTAGCTATATGCACATTACATCTACAAACAGAAATATGGTTACATATATATATATATATACATATATCACAAATAGAGATGATCCAAATCTGGAGTGATAATACATTCCATACATTTTAGTAAACAATGTTTCCTTATCTCATAACTTCATTCTATGTGATTAATAATCTTATCAATAATCTTATCTGCATACACAGATAACTGTGTATAGGATCAAGAATTGGTCTGGTCCCTGCTTTTCTTGTTACAGGCTAATGTCCAATTTGATATAAAATACACATACAAAGATTTAATTATATGTAAAAACTCAGAAAAGTCACCATCAAAAGTTTAATTAAGGGCAGGTGCTGGTGGCTTATGCTGTAATCCTAGCAAAGAGGAGGCTGAGATCTGAGGATTGTGGTTTGAAGCCAGTTTGTAAAAAAAATAAATCTATGATACTATTACTTCCAATTAACCACCAAAGAGCCAAAAATGGAGCTGTGACTCAAGTGGTAGAGTGCCAGCCTTAAGCGAGAAAACTCAGGGACAGTTTTCAAGTCCCTGTGCCAGCACACTTAAAAAAAATCAAATAATCATCAGCTCTATATGAATTTTAGCGTGATGCTAGAGGAGAAGAAAATAGTTATGAAAATTTCAAATACCCCTTTCTCCTGGAACTTCCTTGCCAGGAAGGCCATAAGAGGCTGAGCACAACTTTTAATTTGTGTGTTATAAAGATTGAAGCTTTTAGAACAAAGGGATTTTTGAATATGAGTTCAATATCAAGGTCTAGTGTAGTATGGCTTTTTATTGGTCTGTGGTGTGGCTATTTTTATTTTTAAAATTTGAAGCAAGGGGTTGTTATTCATTAGAAAAGCACCTGACTAATGCTTTTACCACCAAATCCTATCATCAAAGAAGCAGGAGAGGAACCAACAGACTATATTTGGTTCCTTTTAAAGTGCCTGCACTGAAAAATATAGGTAATAAGGGTTGAAATTAGTAATTAAATATAGCACTTAACCTTCCATTATAGGGCTTTGTGGTAAGTGCTTTTATATGAAGCAATTCATCTGTAGCAACACTATACCTTTAATGAAAAGCACCTAACGCATTGACCAGTGGTATTACCCTGTAATTGTCTGGATGGCTTTCATCGGGAAACTAATTAGTAGAGGTAAATTTTATGCTCTTTTGGAGAATATGAGGTATTCCTATATCCAACAGTTCACATTTTAGAATAAATATTGAATTTTTTCTGAATAGCAGACTTAGTTTTCATTATTTTCTGAGCATGGAGCGAAGTACTGAAATAATATTGTGTGCAAACCATTTAAAGCTGAGAAGCCAATTTTTGGTGCATGCCAGGTAAATCTCAAGAATATAATACATCATTAATTTCTGATTTGCCCCTGATTACAGTTACACTGCAATTTTTTTCTCAACCAAAATAGAGCCTCCTCTTCCCATAACATTAATCCATAAAGCCTAACATCATCCCATTTGCCCAAAGTCTAGATTACTCTAACCAAATAACAGCAATCTTTGAAGATAAAATTCTGAATTCACTTGAATGCCACTGAATGCCAAACAATTTCTTTTATACTTTCTCACTGTCAGATATCCATTCTATTCCTAAGCTAGCACATTAACTCGAGATCCACAAAAGAGATCCAGGCTTACACTTCCAATTAGAAAGATCATTTTTAAATGTTGGAAATTAAGCAGATTATACATAGAAAAATATGAGAGGGGCTGGGAAGGTGACTCAGTGGTAGAGTGCTTGCCTTGCATGCATGAGGCCCTGGGTTCGATTCCTTAGCACCACATAAGTAGAAAAAGCTGGAAGTGGTGCTTGAGCTGAAGAGCTGAGGGACAGTGCACAGGCCCAGAGTTCAGGCCCCATGACCAGCAAAAAAAAAATATGAGAATATTTCAGATTTAGCTAAGAATAAAATACGAAATAGAAATAAAGGGCAAAAATTTTCAAAGAGGAATTTTGGAATTAGTAGTACATAGTACACTATGCAAATAAATAATTCAATAACTCTCTTTTTTATTTTTTGGTCAGTTGTGGGGCTTGAACTCTGGGCCTGGGTGCTGTCCCTGAGCTCTTCAGCTCAAGGGGAGGGCTCTACCACTTGAGCTACAGTGTCACTTCTGATTTTCTAGTGAAAACAAATAATTAGCTTAAGGAGATTTTTGATGCTTGTATTTACTTAGATGGGATTTCCAAGAAGAAATAGACAGTGAAAGTATTCAAAAAACCATCAAACAGTTCATGTTAAAAAAAACAACTAAGAGAGATGTGACAAAATAGGAATATATAATATAACCCAATAAAAGATATCCTATATCCTTCACTTTTTGTTTTCTCATTTCTCTTCATCTTCCGATTTTTTTCTGTTCTCGCTTCTTGTCTCCCTCCCTCTTCCCTTCTCTATTCTCTCTTCTCTCCCTCCTTTCCCTCCTCCCCAGCACAATAATTTTATGGTGTTTCACTAGGAGGCACTAGATACCAATGAACTGGAAACCTGTGGTAGGAATATACTGAAATTAAAGACAATGATATTTGATTGCTAAAAAATTAGTCTGGCTAGGTCAAATGAAATGCCCTAACTGTCACAGTTAGTAGTAGAGTTTAATTGCTGCTACTTTAAAGAAAGGAGCAACTGTGGAATGTTGTGATGAGGGCTGGGAGGACAAGAATAACCCTTAGAAGACTTAAAAAAAAAAACCAACAACAACAACAAAAAACACCACAACCACACCATTCAGCTGGAAGGTCTTCTGTGTATTAACTCTAATTTGAAGCTCTTATTTTCATTGGTGAAAGATAGTAAAATATTTCAGGCCTCAGAGAAGCCCTACTGGTTATTTGCCTTTATATTTTACACAATTAGCTTAGATGAATTGATTTGTAAATTCAAGTCCCCAACAATGCATTTGTTATATAAGTCATTTTTTTATCCAGAGTTTTCTATGTTGATCCTGAAGTATTGATTAAATTTGGTAACTTTGGTTATTTCACTTTTTTTTTTTACTAAGAGTGACTAACTAAGAAATCTACTTCATTATAATCATAACACTTGAAGGAGCAAAAGTTCCATGTTCTGTTCTAGCTTCTTCATTAATCAGAACACCAGATAGAATTTTGAAAAAGTCATGTGATTTGCTGGATGATTTTTACTCTGCTAGCTAGTAGCTAAGTCGATACTATACTTGGGGTCTTTTGTCTGTAAACTATACATGTTTATGCCATGGAGACAGGAATTAACACAGATTATTAGGTTAATCTTGCAGCATGGTATAGCTAAAAT